AAATACCACCTGACGGGCACATCAGATCCATTTTTTCCCAGAATAATGTAAACAGTGGAGATAAAAGAAACTGATAGCTCACACTTAGCTGCAGTACAAATATCTTGCCACCATTATCTCCACTATACACATCTACTGAAACTCCTGACACTGCTGTTATCCCACTGATTATCCATAAAGGAGCCCTGAGGGGCCATGAAATGTTTTCTCAAGCTCCCACATCATTATAAACAAGATTATACCTGTGATAGCAAGATATTTTCAGTGTATTTTTTGCCTTTGGTGGACTGCCCGGGCCTAATTCAACAGCTAGCGCACTCCTTTCTGCTTCAGCAAGTCATTAACAGCATGAAAAGGTGAAGGAAATGTGTTGTCATGGCTACATGGCTTGCCATTAATGCAGTCAGAAAAACATCTTTGTATTTTCCTCCTTGCTCTCTAAATTTTCTTCCTGGAGAAATGCCTGCTTTTCTAGCTCCTCTTCATGCCTTTGACTTGAGAGGACAGCGTACACTATGTAACTAACTCTACAGCTGGACCCACCCAGGTTCTTTAAAAGGGCATTCTTCAGGTGTTACATCAACGTAGGTTATGATGATGGTGGGGGGGGGGGATTGTTCCATGCCATATTAGCATACAAGTATTCCCTGCTGTAAAGTCAGGCAAGGTTGGCTGATGGGAGGGGGAGGGAGGAGGGGTAGTATGAGAGGCAAGGATTCTCCTACGATGACGCAGAAACCCTGCAAGGTCTATTTTTAAATCTATTGAAGTGTGCAACACCCTTTAAGTACTGTAACCTTCAACTGTGCCTTCAAACCAAAACAAACAGCGAAGCAGAGGGAGAGCGGAAGGGAAGAAGTGCAACAGCAACAATATATTCAGTGCCTTCCTTCCCTCTCAAGCTGATAGAGCCACAATGAAATATAGATAATGATTCCATATTGCTGAGATGTGGTGCTTTTAGGTTGAAGGATTGTCTGGCCTGGAATAAGAATAGGGACAAAAAGATGATCCTCACTAAAATGACTTGGCAGCACTTAAAAGCAACAACTGACTGAGGTTCATTCCTAGCCAAAGTCAGCACAGCCTGGATCCATTAAAATCTTAGCTCCATCTATATCAGCAAATAACACAGACTAAATGGAGCTTTTTTTTAATGTCCTCTTTATCTTCCCCTCTCTCCGTTTTTTTTTTGTTGTTGTTGTTGTTGTTGTTTTTTTTCCCAAGTGAAATTTGAGCTTCTCTGAATTACATATGTGCTTCCTGCTCACGTGGCAGTATCTTTGGTCCACAAGTGGGTGAAATGTCACCATTACATGCCAAACTAAATAATCAATAACAGGTGCTTGTCCTCACTTCCTATCATTGATGAAGGCAACAGCTCTGATCACAGGCTTAATGTACAACAGTGAGTGATTATCAGCACATACTGTCAACCGGTGACAGTATAGAAAAAAGTATAACATTCTCTATAATTCACCTCAAACCCACTGATCTAAAATCCTCATCTGGTATCAACTACAATCCAAAACCTGCTGGCCCGCCCTCTCAGCTTCTCTCTCTGCTCCCTGGCATTGTTCTGAAATATTTGGTCCCATCTGTCTTTGCAAAATGCCTTGTGATACACACCCCTGTGTTAAAACACAGTTGAAATGTATCATCTGCACTTTACCGTGACTCACTCTGCTTTGCCCTTTGCCTTGCAAACACTGTTTACAGCTCATCAGCCACGTGGTTCATCAGATTAATGTTTAAAATGTGTCTGTTTGAACAAGTGAAGAATATCTGCCAATGTAGCACATAATTCATCTTATTTCCAGGGCACTTTAATTTGCAACAAGTGAATTATGGGACATTATCTAACCTCATCCTTATTTGTTTTCATTTGTTCTAAAATAAAAGTGATCATCTTTTGAAACTTAATATAAAATGTAAAAAATAAAAATAAAAATCTACAGGATATTTATGGTAGCAAAGAAAAGGCATAATGATTTGAACTATATAAGCAACTCTGGGGAAATACACTTATTTGCTTTTCTGCCCAGAATTTGGTGAGTACATTCATAACTCTCTTACTGTATGTCTGTGTTAAAAATAAAACAACAAGAAGGAAATGTTTAGCTTATCTTAAAAAAAAAGACTGGAAATATGGAGAGTCAGCTAGCCTAGCTCTGTGCAAAGATTAAAAAATTCTGCCTACCAGCACTTTTAATGCTCAATAATTTAACACATCATTGATTAATCTGTACAAAAACAGGAATGCAATGACTTCCTGGGGGCTTTGCTGGTTCCAGAGTTTTCTTTGGACAGAGCCAGACTAGTTATTGCCCCTCTTTTCATCCTTTATGCAAAGATGGGCTAACTGGCTGCCAACATCTAAGATAGTGTAAAGTCTGGTACATAACTCTCCATAAAAACACTACAGGATGGTAGGAGGACATGTTAATTAGATTATGTTTTCCTCAGACAGAGCGAGGCTAGCTGTTTCCACTGTTTCCGGTCTTTATGCCACTGTAAACTAAGCTAACTGTCTGATGGTGGTAGCTTAATATTTACCATTCATACATAAGAGTGCTATCAATCTGTAACTACTGGCAAGAAAGCAAGTAAGTCCAATTCCCAATCTATCCCCAGAAGGTAAGCATTGTGCCATTTCAAAAAGAAATCATCCCTAGTATTACTTTTTAAAGTTTAAGAAATTCATACAAACAACCTATGGTATATTCAATCTGTGGATATTTTTGGAGATAAAAATGTAAGCCAAGCCAAAATGTAAGCTTTTATTTACTTGTGTAGTTGCTGTTTTTAGCATTCGACTCATATTAGCATCAAACAGAACACTGCCCTCAGCTAAGAAACACCCTTCAGAATAAACAAAAGTTCTACGTGCTGGGCGTGCAAGAGACACAGTATGATAAGAACCTGTTTGTAATATGTGGAGCTCATGTTAGGAATGTATCTTTGTGAAGCAGGGGCAGAGCGCACACTCTGGAACAGACAAGATGAAGTCACAGCAAGGCATCACCCCACATCCTGGGAGTCTCCCAGCTGGTGTGACACCAGACCATCTGTGGGCCTGTTTATCCCAGAGAGCTGAGGTGGTCATATGAAACCGTGTGTGTGTGTGTGTGTGTTTGAATACTGTTTTGCACTTGGACTGCAAGGCTTGAATGACTACCTATTGAAAAGCAACAATTTGAGGTGAGGACTAAAATAGTTTCTCTAGTACAGGCTGACCCAATTAATTACAGCAGTGCACACAATGCAAAATGGGCTTCGGATAGTTAAGAGCTCCCTAAATAGAAACTGAGTGAATAAGCAGTTCGGATTATTATCTGGCCACCACACTATAGGCTACTGGCATTACCACAATAGAAATCTGACCAGTCAAGCTGTGGACAATCAACCAAAAAGGCTGTGCTTTGTGACAAAATACTGGTGATCAAGGCAACCACTGAAACACTTTTTCACAAAGGTGGTGATATTATTCACATCTACCAGGAATGTTTTAAATGCCACTGCTGTCTTACAAGGTGGAATCGCAACCCTGCATGAGCTACTCCCCAGAGGACTGGAGGAATTCATTTGCAGTGCTGGGGATTCAGAGCAATCTATTTGCCAATCTGAACAGAAAATTAAATTTCATTATCACAAATCAGAAACAGACCTATAGTTCTGGGCAGTGGTGAAAGAAGTACTCAGATCCTTTACTAAAGTAAAAATACTGACAAAACGATATGTACTTGAAAGCATCAAAAATACAGTTCTCTCTCTGGGAAGAGTCCCAGTCAGTGGCATATTATTACATAAAATAATACTGATGCAACCGGGTATAAGCAGTGATGTTAATTCTGATCATGTGTATCATTTTATAGTTACAGCCATTAAAGGTGTTGCTAGGTTTAGTACACTGTTACTGCTCTAAAGGAATGTTTGCACTAGAAGTATAATGAAGCATCAAATGGAAATATTCATGTAAGATAAATGTATTTGCTTTCCATAACTGCAGCAGGGCAAGACTACTACAAATTTAGATTCTCTTCACATAGTCTAGTTTTACATAACATTCAAAATCAAAGTAATTACACAGGAGTGCTATAAAGAACAGTGAAACGGTAATCACCAGGTCAAACATTCTCATAACATACGTCATGTACAAGCATCTAAAACAGGTTTTTGGTGTGTTTAGGCACCAAGTTCACTCAGCTCTAATGACGTGTACATAGCAAGTCTTTGTCAAAGAAGGGAGGAGAAATCATTTAGGTATACAAAGACCAGGCGTTTTCTCCTCAGACCTTTGAGTAATTGTCTTTTGAGAGTTAAGCAGTTTTGAACCTTTGACTTCACGACCACATAGCCCATGATACAGTCCAGCAATGTGACAAATATGCTCCCCAATACTGCAAGCGGTATGTTCAAGCCTGTAAACACGTACACTGCAGTAGTGGCACCAACAAAATAAACAGGCTTGATGAGGACTTAAATGAAATGTGAATGTTCATTCTGGTACAGAGTGCAACAGACTATAAATAGCTCACCACCTGTCTTCACAGCCATGATATCACATGGCTACACCCCTTATTACTGAGACATTAACCTCTGCCTTAATCCCTGAACAGATCCAAAGTTTATAGTACACAAGCTCCAGGCTTTATGTTGCACATTAAAACAGTCAAGTCTCCATTCTTCTACTGCCCTCATGAGTGAGGGGCAACTCCTAGCATGTGACCGCTGTTATCTGCTTAGGCAGATGACTACTCCGTGATCAAATTTGCTACTAGTTAAATATTACAAACAAGTCAACACTGGGTTTAAACAAGCAATAAATAAGCACACTTTCCACTGATAATGCTCAACTGTCGTTTATTTTATTAAAAAGACCAGGGTGCAAATATGAAATTAAAAAAAATAAAGACAAGCATAGAATTTTTAAGCATTTAATACAAACTATTTCAGTCCCTCTTGACATGTAAGACACTGACTCAAAATACTTTGTTATACCTTTTTTTTTTATCAAGTATTGCACAATGTAGGTACAAAATTAATATTCATACGATTACATTGTCCATATAGCAAAATCTTTAACCTCTTAACAGAAAATAATTCTTTCAGAAAAAGCAAATATATCCTACACTTGGAATTCCACCACTAAGGAATACTCTGTACACAATCTTTAGAATTTGATGCATTTTTAAAAGATGGATTTCTTTAATAATTATCTTAAAAAAGGAAAAAGGAAAAGCTGCTGCAGCCATCACAGATCACTGGAGTAGTAAAAAGATATAAATGCAACACCATGTCATAGAAACAATATATACTCTGATATCTTACAAACTCTGTACTAAATTAAATTATACAATTAGAAAAAGACCAAGTAACCCCACTTAGTAGTGCCAATTCATAAAAATCAGCCTTGCCTTACCACCTGTAAAATACTGTAAGAGGCCAAAACTTCAAGCTTTTTTTGGAGTATTTTCTCAACATAGTTAAAATTAAAAAAAAAAAAAAAAAAAAGCTGTGCTTGGTTGGCAAAAAGGGAAAAGAAAAACAATGATGCATGTTGAATTGATGTAACCAAGCTTGGATGTGTTTGTACAACAAGCTTTTCAGTAGAAACAAACTCAAGGGGGCACAGTAAAAGCACCCTTGGGCACATGCGCTTGACTGACTAGACACCAATCCTTGAAAGACCAGTTTAAGTGTGCGTTTTGTTTTTCCTTCTCCTTGAGCCACCATCATTCATAAATAACATCTTGGTGATGAGTTTAGTTAGCCATGACTGGCTGGAATTGCTGGTTACTATACTGCATGTTGCTCAGACTGAAGTTGAGACCATCCATAAGGGACTTGTCGTTGAGGCTTCCGTAGGCCGCAAACATGTCAAAGGCATTGTTGTACTGCAGAGGGCCAAGCCCTAAGGAGCCCTCTCCAGGAAACACAGCTCCAGGGCTGGCCTGGCCCTGGAGGCTGGGGAACACAAACTCCTTGGCGTTCGGGGAAAGAGCAGAGGCCTTCTGCTGCTGCCCCAGGCCCAGTCCGTACAGTGAGTGCATGGAGGTGGAGATGGCTTTCTGCTTCAGCAGGCTGTTGACATTCAGACCCAGGTTATTGGTAGGGGAGGTGCGGGCCACCTTGCCACTACTGCCGCTGTTACCACGGCCACTGCTCTTCATCTTAGTGGAACCGAATTTTGTGGCAGCGAAGGTGGCAGTGGTGAAGGTTAAGGGCTGGGTGGAGCGTGGCATGAAGGAGGGACTCACGGCAGCAGACTGCCCAAAAGGAGGTGACGGGGAGCTGGACTCTGAGGATGCCCCGACAGGGTCGCTGATTGGCATGAAGACCTGGGCCTCAGGATTAAAGCTGTTCTTTATCTCTTTGTCCAGCTCTGACCCGTTCTCGTTGTTATCATCCACATATAGCACCTTGACTGGTCCCTTCTCTCCAATCTGGTAGGAAACCTCAAATGGGTCGATCCACACGCTAAGGTCCTGAGGGAGATTATTTCGAACATCTTCAATGTCCAGCCCACTCTCTTTGGCTGCCTGCTCCACCACAGGGTCCACCTTCTCCCCTACATGGATACACCTGAACCCTGACCCTTTGTATGGCTTATCTGGATACCAGTGGCCTTCATATTTTTTCTTCAGCTGCCTCTCCAGCTCTTCGCCAAAGATATTGACACGTCGTCGTGGGAGCTTGTTGTATAAATAGGAAATAATAAAGTTGAGTGCTACTTGAATTTCAAGCTGCATAGCTGGTTCAGTGGCAGGGGTGATTCTTTTCCGTCACTGATTTGCTTTGTTGCAAAAACCTCCAAGGTAGCAGTGATCAGTGTGGTGAAAAACAGTGCTTGCTGCCAAAATATACTTCCTGTAGCAGGATTAGGATCAAGATCCTGAAAATGAAAAGAAAAAAAGTATTAAGAACATGAAGCTGCTAATAGCACATGAAAAGAGCATTATCAAATTAGCCACCTCTGTGGTCGATGACATTTCACTTGTATTAGCTCCTACCTCCACACAGCACTGCTCTGTCTCAGCTGTACAATATCAACAGCTATAAATAAACACAGGCCACTGACTCAGAGACGGTGTCAGCAGTGTGCTCCCCAGCGGGCTAGTGTAACAGATAAACGCAGTCATGGCTGACCTCGGCGGAGGGCCTGACGGTAGGTATCAATGTATTGCCTCTTTTTGGCACGCGGACATGTTTGGGCAAAACTCCTTCCTCGTGCGTCCAGGTGGGAGAACCTTGTGAACCTAACCAGGCTAGTCCAGCCATCCCCGTTAACTCACCAAGTCGCCGTAGGCAGAGCAGCACGTACTAGCTGACGACAAGAATTGCTGTTACATAATCATCATTCAAAGTCCAGCCACGACCACAAAGCCCTTTCTACAGCACCACAACACACTCGTGATAATATGAGAACGGCTTGCTTTCTCATCACGTTCGCCAACTAGCATTAGCTGGCCAAGTAAATTAATTGTGTGAACAGATATGTAGCAAGCTAGCTATCTAGACGCCTGCTAGGTTTAGCCCGACCAGCTGGTTATGAGAATTACCTCTGTGGCATCGTGTGCAGCAAACAAAATACACACATGCACGGACAACAAATGGTATCGAATGATAATGTTGACGACGATGGAATTAGAAAATTCCGTTTAATCGCGACTGTCGACCGTGTTGGTCGTCATCAAGCCTTGTAGCATTTTAATCAGCTAGGTGGCTACAGTCCGAATAATCGACTGCGACTAATGTTTAATAACACAGAAAATAATGCAAGACCATTTAACTTTCACATATACGAGTGCTATGCCGACGTAAAGGTAACACTTACACGGAAATTCACAGCAGATCCTTGTTGTAATAATCAAAGTCCGTGCCAGCAAACGTCACACTTATACGGCCTCTGTTGTAGCTTTCTAAAGGAGATACAAAGTGATGTTGCTGTTGTTGTTGTTGATGTTGTTGTTGTGTTACTGCGGTGCTCCAGGCAATCTTGCTTCTGTGGGCTATGGTTAAATTCCGACTCGCAAGACGCCAATGTAACTCCCACAACCTGGGAGCTCTCACAACTCTGCCCTTTAAAACTTGGGCTGGTTTGTTTTTATAGTAGTCCTCCGCCACGGACACAGATGAGGTGGTGATGCGGCTCACAGAGGTCAACACACATTAACGTGTTTCTATTGGCTATGCGCGGCTTCGTCACCAACAGATATCTGAACTGCCACTGTGATTGGAGGATTTTGTGTTCAATCAATGGCAGGGTTCTATTTACGGTAGTGGTTTGCCTTTTATTTTCTTCGAACTATTTTATTCAAAAAGCCTTTAGCTAAAATATCTCTAGAAAATCGTATTTGAGGGCAATAAGATTCTTGTAATAATACTAAAGCATTCTAACACCAATAAAGTTGCTTGGTAAAAGCCTGATACGTCTGTATATACTGTATCTATTTTGATGGTGTCAATCCCTCTTAAAGCTCTTCTGTGCTCAGAGGTAGTCTAAGTGATGTATGAAACCTATGCCTGACAAATTGTGATAATGCTCAGCAGTCTGTCTAATTATTGTTACCAGCCAGAGTCAGTGCTGAAAGGAAACCACATTTGGCTCTGCACTCACCACTACATGGTAAACGGAGCTAGATAGCCGGTGTGGCGGAGGGACACACCTGTCACTGGTTGTGTTTCTTGCTCCTTGCCAATGACATTTTGATGTTCTTTGAGCTGTAGCTGTGTCTAAACCTAACAATCCTACGTCACTGAGAGTGCTGTTCTGTGGAATGGCACAATTTCCACCACTTTTAAACAAAACAAATGTAATTTCATAATTGGCATGCTTCTCTCACTGTGTACCTGGTATTTAATTCTCTTCATTATTACCTCTGTGGACCATGAAAATGAATAGTTACACAGTGATTTCCAGCTGCTCTCCAGTGCCTGTGTGCTGGCTACTTGTTTTTAACAGCTGCCCAGTGCAGGGCTTAAGCATTTACCCCGTCAGCCTCAATGTGGGTGACGCCATAGCCTGGTCTTACCTAACATGGGCTTCCCACACTGTGTGCATGAATAAATAAAATGCAAAACAAAAGTATGTCTTGACTCAAAAACCCACTCAAATGCTTTATATCATGTCAGTATGTGTTAGGTTTGAGAGCTACCAGCTATAGGCTCTCTAAAGGGAACAGCAGCAGAGTCAGTATAATTTCAGAGGCATATATGATTGGTGTGAATCAATAATAATTAATTTAGATAGTCTTTTTTGTGCAAGTCATGTTCCTGAACTTTAAAAAATTAACACATTCTTCTTCTTTTTCACTGTTCAGTCAAAATGACTATACTGTATATGCTTCAAAGTACATTATTCATTATGGCATTGGGGCCTCGGACAGCCTGCTATATACTCAATAAGAGCATTTGCTTTAAAGGGGTGTATGGAGTACAAAGAGAAGAGGTGCACAGAAAGGGGGTTTCATCATCAGTCTTTTAAAGTCATTCTTCCCTTTCTAAAGCATTTTGGTATTCATGATTGCTCCCTTTTCACTCAGGCCTGCAGATTTCTGAAAGAATATATACACATATAGGGGTTAATTGTGATGTATCACAATACCACAGACAATGTTTAGCTCAGAACCACATCCCAGTGCCATAAACAAAGTGCTATAAAATGTAGTCAGATCATAGCCATAGGGAATGCTGCAGAATGCTGCAGGCACAATGGAGAGTTCTTTCAGCCTCCAGATTGAGTCTCAGCAGGGCTGAGAAATGAGTCCCCCCACCACTGAGGATCTTATGTGATGAATGACCCTAGCACAAACTAAACACACTGTGGGGGCCTTGGAGATGCACCAAGGCCACCAGAGCAGGACTTTTTTTTACCCTCCCCCAAAGTACAGAAAATGTGTGACATTGACCAAATGTTCAGATGTGTCTCAGTTTGCACCAGGCTGCATCACTATTCAACAAGAAATACGTTTTCCTAGAGCCGTAACCCTGCAAGAATCTTGCTCTTTCTGCCATTGTGTCTCCTTACGTAAGTGAGTGTTTGTTTTGTCTGTAGATCGGTGGAATAATAGTCCAACACAATGCTTAAAAATGACCTATTTGTTATTTTCTGCCAGAATATGAATCTGGTTTTCTTACTGTTGTGAGTCTGTCTGGCTAGGAGCTGGAGGTAAACACAGCTAATGAAGAGAGTTGTTTAAGCATGACTCATGCAAATTTTTTTGTGAAGTCAGTCCACATAGACATTTTTCTCCCTTCTCTTCATGAAGTTGTGAAATCCCTTTCTCTTCTCTCTGGCTTTGTAGCTGCACAAAAGCTGTGTTGAATTTCCAGATGTGGTCAGTAGATTTTAATCTGATATACACTATGTTTCATCACATTGTCAAAACTGAGGGAGAGATCAAATATAAGAGTTGATAATAATGTGATACCTTTTGTTGTTTACTACCAAGGAAAAGTTTTTTTTTAAATTCTCAGCACACAGACATTTCGTATGGAAAGAAACTGTGTGTTTTTTTTTTGGCACACTGAGTTATTGGCACAAAGCCCAACTCATGTGAGCATGCTGTATAATGAAAGCTGTCAGAGACTGCATTAATTTATACTGGTAATTTGACTAACTCGGAGAAAGCTTGTATACATGTATTATATCCTGTTCTTTGCACTCAAACACTGTTTAAAAACCTGACTTGTTAATTCTTTCCTCAGAAGATGATCAAGTATAATTAAAAAATATATGTCAAAATAAATATGCTGCTGTAAAACTACAGGTTCTTAGTCTTCCTGCCATTCTCCATTAAACCCACAGACTTGTCTTCATTTCTTTTCCTCTCTTAATATTTTTGACCTCTAGATGACTGCATCAGCATAAATCTGTATGTTGCAGGCATGTTGGACCTTTTGTCCTTTGTACAGCTGCTATAATCAATATTTGTATGCTAACAATAGATCACATGACTGTGTTTGTAAAAGGAGTCACTCACAGTAATGAACTCATTGAGTTATCACTTGACCTCACAGTTCCCCTCAGCTCTATAGCACATTGTAACATTTTGATTTTTCTGGCCTGCAAATATACTGTTTTGGTTTACTCTCACTACTCTTGTCGAAGCCTTTTCAGCTGCAGCAGCAGCTCTTTTCAGATAAAAACTTCCAAAAACCCAATGTATGCTAGGTGTCTAGCGCCACATCACATTTAACAACTATAAAGCCAGATTTTTTTCCCCAAATAAAAACTTGTTAAATGGGGCGTGAATATGAAGCTTACATTCACCATTCAAATACAACTAGTATTTTTCTAATAAAATAAAAGGGTTCTAATACCTTGTATGAATTATGGGTTATTCATTTACTGTAATTAAACTAAGAGTTAGCACAGGTGTATTCCTTTTTCTTCCTTGATTATGTTGCTACTGACTGGATCCAGGATAAATCTGAAAAGTTCAGAAGTTTGTCAGTATTTCTGACTCCTTGTTAATTAAAGTAACCGACATACAATCTTGGTCTATGTCTGTCTAAAAGCAGACCTAGAGCCAAGTCGAGTCTTTTGGATGTGTCATCTATTGGTAAGAAAGTCACTTTCGGCTTTTCCCGTTTTAAGGGGTCACCACAGCAAATCATCACACTGACGACTCGCATGTTGACATTTGGCACGTGTTTCTTTTGGATGTGTCATCTATTGGTAGTTGACAGAAACTGTGCCATTATTGACAGAAACAAAAATCCCATTTGGTTTTTTGGTTTATGTTGAACAAAATTTTTTTAAGCCACATATTTAGTTTAGCTTGTTTGTTGGTTTATCATCAAACAGCGCAACTAGTTCCTGAACACTTTAACACTTAAACACTTAAGCTAAGGCTAAGCTAGCTTACAGTATATTGTATTGTTTATTCTTTTGTAGTTTATTCCTGCTATCTCAAGCCACTTCTCCAGGTCATCCTCCCATCCCCTGGTTGTGGTAGAGGTAAAGCTAGAGATATGATCATATTGTCTCATTTAAGGTGTGACACATTATGTTCCCAATTATTTTAATTTTTAAAAAGCTCTAAATAAAGAGGGAGCTATAACTAACTCTGATACGTGATGGTTCGGTGAATGGAATGACTGAAAGTCACAGCCATAATTCACACAAGGTATCAAGAAGCTAGGAGCAAGGTGGATAGACTGGATTTATAATCAGTTCTTGTTTATTTATTTATGGACTTTACTTGAATTAAGTTATTCCTACACATAACAACCTGAATTTCAACATGTAACATAATAATATATTTAAACTCAGCACAAATGTCCACTTGGAGTCAAGGATGAACTTGTTAAGTTTTGGTGGTCACAGGTCAAGTTCACTGTGACCTCACACCCATCCCATTCTTGTGTACTAGTTTGCCTTGAGGGAATTTCTTCAAATTAAATACACATAATATTTCATTATGTTCCTTCAAAGTCTTCATGACATATATGAATCTGGACAGACATGCATGTAAACTGAAACTTGACTGATGGAGGCATAAAGCCATGAGTCAGTCATTCTAGTTTAATACTATGTTGTGTTAAGACAACACAGAATGTTCTCTTCAGCATAGATAGCTTCTGTAACTGAATCTGTAAAGAAGTTCTGTGTGCATATATCATTTACCAACTGACTAAATGTGATCCTGCATGGAACAGAAGTTTTACTGCTCTGTTACTGAAATACAGTCTTAGCTGTGGAAGAGGTGCTCAATTAGTATTCACAGCAGCTCTGTACTGATAGCAATCAAATATTATGCTGCTCACTGGAATTTATAGCTTCATGCACACATGCACAAGCACCTGCTTTATTCTTCCTTTAAATTTAGAGGAATGATGGTCTTTAAACACTCGACTCTGATGATGAAAGCAGCAGAAAGTAATTTTTCTGTGGCACGTATGAACTGTTTACACAGCAAAATCATTTAAAAGTTCAGAAAAATGAGTCTTTACCCTGGTACATGATAGTCTACTTGATTCTGGTGTGCGTGTGGAAGGGATATTACGTGTAGCTTCTTCTTAAGCTGTTTACAAATACTGTCAGGCTGAGGGAGGCCAGAGAGTTTTTTTCCCACACCAGTGCCAGGAATGTCATTAA